TGTGAACATGAAGGATGTAAAGTCTCCATCTTTCTTTATGGCTGCATAGTATTCCATGGTGTACATATACCACAGTTTGTTGATCCATTCGTGGATCGATGGGCGCTTGGGCTTCTTCCATGTGCATGTCAAATATTAATGTTTATGATTCCCAACACGTTCTCTTCCTTTGGATAGTCCTTCCTTCTCTTCCTTGCTAATTCCAATATCACCCATTTCTTTATTTTTAAGACTGAGTTCAAATATAATTCCTTCTTTTAGCCTTCTCTTTATCATGTCATAGATCGGAGGATAAGCCGGCCCCATATTGATAAAATTGAATCCTTAAACGCGAGCAGATAATTTTAGCGCTTAGCTCCTGGGAACGATTAGACAGTTGGTACGGCATAACCCTAATTCTGAATTCTAAATCCATGCTGACATCTGAGCCTTAGTATTCCCATCTGTAAAACAGAGAAATTGAGAGTGCATGTATACAATTCAAGAGGTTGTTATGAAGATGAGATTATCCACATAAGACCTTAATCCAGCACCTAGCACATGGAGAAAGTTCAATAAAAATTGTTATAATTATAGTTTACACAGAAGATTTCAGTGAGCTGAGATAAATACACTTTGGGGGCTTGCAGAATTCTACTTTTTATTTATACATTGCCCCAATTTTGCTTAAAAAAGAAAATCTGTGTTTTAATTCCTTGGCTAAACTCAGCTTCTGGGTTTAATATTTAATGAGAGAAATATCTCCTTAATGAAATGCTTTGATATATTCACAGTAAAAAGGGCAATTTTACTGATGTGGGCATCTTACATACATGTGTGTATGTACATATAAAATCAAGATTTTGTGAGTAACAACCCATTATTTAATTTGAGATTTTGAGTAGCAGTAAGAGTCTGTTCAATAAATAGCAAACATCTATTGCATAGAAAGCATGGCGTGATCCCTCCACAACTGTGGGAAGGAGGGAGTGCAAGATAGAGCAGGTTTTCACAAGATAAATGTGTCATAGGTTGTATAAGCAAAATGGTTTTATAAGGAGCAGAAACTATCATCTTGCACGATAAATGAGAACCCAAAGTAGACTTTCAATGGATAGTTGCCTCTTGTTAATATCCTTTCTAGTTTTTGGATTATTCTTTTAAGAAAACACAAAATGTTAGTTAGAGTTCCAACCAGGAAGCTTGGATTTGTCTTACATGTATTCTTGCAATTATGTACAAAGCCATATGTTTAGACTATTTATTGTGGCATGGGTTACAACAGGAAGAGGCTGATAAAAGCCTAATCATCCATCACTGGGGAATGAATAAAGTACCTTATGGGATACTGGTATGATGGCTTACTTTGTATCCAGTAAAAAACTAGGCCATTGGAATGAGTGATCTCTAAGAAGTATTATTAATTGCAACAGCATATTGATTAGATGAGACTAAGAGACATTTCAGCCAAATGCAACGTGTGGACCTTTTGTGAATCCTTATAACAAACCAACTTTAAAAGTGCATTTATGAGTTCTTAGGGGAAATTTAAACACTGATGGATATTTTGATGATACTAAAAACAATTTTTATGTTTGATAATGGTGTGGAAGTTATATAAAGAACTCCTAAATTTCTTTTTTCTTTTCTTTTTTTGAGATGGAGCCTCAAGCTATCCCCCTGGGTAGAGTGCCATGGCATCACAGCTCATAGCAACCTCCAACTCCTGGGCCCAAGCAAGTCTCCTGCCTCAGATTCCCAAGTAGCTGGGACTATAGGCGCCCACCACAACGCCCGGCCATTTTTTTTTTTTTTGGTTGCAACCATCATTGTTGTTTGGCGGGCCCGGGCTGGGGATTCGAACCCACCACCTTAGGTGTATGTGGCTGGCGCCTTAGCCGCTTGAGCCACAGGTGCCGAGCCAAGAACTCCTAAATTTCAAAGAAGAATAGTGAAGTATTCCAAGTGAAACAACATGGTGTTTATGTTTAGTTTCATAACAATTTATGCATTATGAAAATTATTAATCTGTGGGAAGAGGGGAGTATAGACGTGATAAGACTGGCCTTGATCTGAAGGTTACTATAGCTGAAGAATGTCTATCAGTGCCTTGTTAAACTATTTTTTGCCTTTTGAGTGTTTGAAATTTTCCCTAATAAAATTTAAAACTAAAAATTAATAACTGAAGCTAATCAAATTGCAACAAAAAGTTAAAAATTAAATAAAACACAAACGAAAAGCTTAAAAGGAAGATGGTTACTTATAAGTACAGAAGGCTAGCAATAAATTTGCATAGCATAATTATGGAGAAAAAGTCTGCTGATTACATTTTTCTTCAGGAGCCTAAGATGGAAGGAATATTTACTTTCCAATACTTTGATAATATTTGAAAGCAAGGTGCCATATAAACATTAAATATACTATTAGAAATAGTGCATGCCACAGTTAAATCCAAATAAGCTAAGGTTCTTAGCGGGGCTATCCAGTTAGCACATTTATTAATTCAAGTTCTGCTGAGACTTTTACTGATACCCTAATTATTTTAATTAAAGTTCAGCTTGCTTGTAATCATTTAGTTCTCGGTGGAAAATGATAATACAGTAAACTCACATTCTTTTTTATTTATTTATATATAATTAAATGGATTTAATTAAAATATTTTATTATATATTGAAGAAATTTAATTATATAATTAAATCTACAAGCTTGATTTAATTCATGAAATATTTATTAGTACACATATAGAGCAATTTTTCAGACAAACAGAAAAACAAAGAGAACAGAGACATAAGGAAAATCCATCATCTAGATTTCCTCTTATTTGCTTCATCTATTTTGTCTGACATCTTTTAAAGTAACTTGTAGACCTTACAATATCTCACCCCCTAAATATCTCAGCATGCATCTCTGAAAAAATAATGGTGAGTCTTTACATGATCATGACATCCTTATAAATGTCACAAAGTAAACAATTCCCTAGGATCGCCCATCACTCAATTCAACTTTCTACACTTTCCAAACCAGGATCCAGTCAAGGAGCACATGTCACATGTAATTATTGTCTCCTTCAAATCTCTTTTCATCTAACAACATCTTTTTTGTTTTTCATCCCATTGACCTGCTGAAGCGTCTAGGCCAGAAGTCTTCATAGGGGAGCATCACTTTAAGCAGACAAGTTGAATTGTCCACTGAATGGAATGATGGATGTTTGGGGGCTCTCTCCAGATTTCCTGCTAGTTGGGGTCGGTGGCTCTCCTTCCCCCCAGCAGGAGGTGCTGCCCATGGCCTCAACTTTCCACAAGACTGCCAGGCTCTAGCATCAGAGGCTTCCAACTATCTACCACTTTCCTGAGTCCTCAATTCCCAGGCTCTCTCTACTTGCAAAACCACTCATGAAAAAGAGTCTCTCTTTTGTAATATCATCCACGATGCTTTCTGCTCTGCATGCATCCTACTGTAGACGCTTCTGTCTGTGAGTTCGACCCTACACTGTGTTAAGATTATTGGTGTTTGTTCAAAGCCTTTGGTGGCCAGTGGAAGCCAACTGTGTCACATAATAGTTCCACTCCCTGGACTTGTTCAATTGTTACCTTAAAATGTCATTTTACTTGTTCCTCTATCACCTATATTTCCTGTACACTGGAAGTCAGTTTTTCAGACTTGATTTATTTCACACTAAACATTTACTGGAAGGAATATTTCCTAACATGTGTAATTCCTAGGATATCAACTCAGGGCTTTTAAATTATGATTGTCTCATTATTATTATTCAATAATAACTGATCACTGGGTTAAGATAGTGACAACCACATCAGTCCCTTGGAAATTTACATTCATCTCCCCCTATCCCCATTCCCTCCAGAAAGCAGTTTCTAATCTCTGGGGTGAGTCTTTAATACCATGTGGTATCCAATTCCCCATCAATAGTTTGACATAGTGGTTTTAACATCTATGGATAACTCTTGCCTGAATGAAAGACTAAATGAGAGGCTACCCATTGGTACTGTTTAAATCTAATCATTTATTCTACACTTATCAGCTGTCCTTCTATTAGAAGAAAGTGCTCCCTCGCGACCGGGCACAGTGGCTCACACCTGCAATCTTACCTAGCACTCTGGGAGGCTGAGGTGGGAGGATCCCTTGAGCTCAGGAGTTTGAGACCAGCCTCAGCAAGAGCAATACCCCATCTCTACTAAAAAATAGAACAATTAACCAGGCAATGTGATAAGCACCTGTACTTGGGAGGCTGAGGTAGGAGGCTCACTTGAACCCAGCAGTTTGAGGTTGCTGTGAGGTCGGTTGATGCCATGGCACTCTAGCTTGGGCATCTGAGTGAGACTAAGTTTCAAAAAAAAAAAAAAAAAGGAGCTTTCTCATTGGCTGTGTCAATTATTCGGTTACTCTGAAATATAATTTTATTGCAAGAAAAATATGTATTTTTACCTTTAATACAAATTCTAGGGTAAGAAGTAGGTGTAATAATTTGCAAGGATGGCAAAGGCGTATTTTACTGTGATTTCCTTCTCCCAGACTCATGGATTTTAATATAGTTAATGCATTTCAATCAATGACAGTCATTTTACTTTTTGGAAGGCATGACATTTTCATTTATTGCAGCAAAGGCTTATAAACTTGCCAGCTAATTTTAGTTGGATTATTAAGAAAATTAGTTTGCATTCTTCAAATATACAGCCTCATTATACTTTTTGCTTCTTAAATGGCCCGAAATTTGGCCAGTGGGAATCCGTTGTAGCTAGCTTCTGTGTTTTTTTTTTTTAAACTCAATCCCATTAGTCTTTGTTCCTGGCTTTCTGGCTCAACAGGCTGTTCCAGGTTCACCTTGCATTTCCCATATCCTACATTTAAAAATAGTGGTTTCTCTGAAGAGCCCTGCTGCTTTGCAGTAGCTGAAGGCATTTAGGGATCAGGATTTCTGGCATATTATTATTTCCAGGTGTTATTAGCAGATAGGTTTTGAGTAGACACACACACACAAACACATGCGCACACAATGAGTTTATATTGACTTTCCTAGTTTAAACTTAATATTATAACTGCTGTGGTCAAAAAGGAGCCTCACGTGACAGTTTTCCTTGATGGTCGCCATTCTGTTTGCTGTCACTGATCTGCAACATTTTGGGAAAACACAGTGTCTTTGTACCTGCCTTTTCTCAGCTGTGCTCGATGAAGATTCTGAGATGATCGAAGTCGATCTTTCTACAAAGTGAGGACTCCAGGGGTCATGACAGTGATGAAATCGAACAATCTCAGGGGACCTGGGTTGCCCCGTTTCCTGGTAGCACCTGATACCAAAGAGAACAGGGTGTTTCTGGAGGTGTGCTTTAAGGTTACCAGTAAGCTGTCCTCACCTGTGAGTATGGAGCTGCGTCGGTCAATTCATGACTACCCAAAGCTTTGTCACAGCTTCCTATAGATTCAGGAGAGAACCTCCATGGGAAGAGGCAGGCAAGAAGACAAGTTATTTTAGGTGAAGACTGAACTCCAAGAACAGATCTCTGGTTTCTGCTGGTTCTGGGTGTATCTGATGTTGATCAATGAAAGACTCTGGAAAGTAAAAACTATTCCTAGTGATAATAAAGTCAACTTAACATTAGAGTGTTTTGACTTTTTTGGTTTTGTACTTATGGTTGTGTTACACAGAAAAACCTTTGACTCCATTATTTATTCACTTTCTCCTTTAATGTACAAAAATCGTTTCAAGATAAGGATGCATTATTACCACTATCTGAATGCCCTTTACGATTTCTTTGCATCTCTTTTTCCTTTGTAATGTACGCCTTAAAGATACGAACTACTGTGTTTTAAGGCTATTTGGAATAATTATTTTCTCTGATTGTGTTACCCATTTGATATATAATAAGGTACCTATGGTTTTTTTTTTTATTTTTTTTTTATTGAATGGTAACTATGTACATTAATGCACTTCTGGGGTACAGTGTGGGGTTTTCACATGCAATCTGAAATACTTCCATCAAACTGGTCAACACAGCCTTCATGTCATTTTCTCAGTTATTGTTTTAAAACGTTCACATTCTACTCTTAGAAAGATTCACTTGTACCCCTGTATATATTTTCAATGTAAGACATTTTTTCTTTTTTTGATATTCTGAAATTTATGAGTATTTTTTTTAATTACAGAGGAAACCATTCATTTTTATGGACATGAGTTCTTAGCCAACCTAATAGTCGGACCTCTGCACAGAACCTCTGATCTGGGAATTTTCAGTGGGTTCTCCAGAACCTTTGAGTAAACGTTTATAGTACAATAATTATACTTACAGGTAATTATTGCATTCAGACACTTGCCTGAAATGATTTTCTCTATTTCCACCCTGTTTCGTATCTTTCTCACAAACTCCAGTTCATTTTCTTTAAATATTCTTAGGGCTTTTTAACCTTATGGCAGAGTACCAAGTGGAAGGAGAATCACAGGATTTCCAAAAAGAGAAACGAGCTGGTAGAGGATGCTGCATGCGTCTCAACCTAGGAGACCAGGCTTCCCATGGGCACGACTGCTTTCAGCTGCCGCACACCCACATGGCTGGACACATTATTTACAGCAGGCATTTTTTCTGATTGGTTGGTTTCCATGCCTGACTTATCATGAAGTATTTTTAATATCACTCCCATCTGGGGGCGTGGGATTTCATCTCTCAGGTCAATCCCTGTCCACAGTGGGAACCCTTTCAAATAAAGATAAGAACAAACTTCTTATGAGATTAAAAACTTCACAAGGAGCCTGCTGAGAAAATCTGAACTGATGGAGTTTAGTTCATATAATTTTATCCAAGAAGATTAAATCTAGTTGTTTTCCAGTGCAAGCTAATTAGCTTCTCCCTTGTGACTGCTGATGGAACACACATTTTTGTTTTCATAAAGACAACACAGTTTTCATGGGAATGTGCCTCTGGCTCTGGTAGAGAACGAGGAAAGATGCAGCTGAAAATTGATTGCCTTGTCTTCCCTCTTCGGATTATAGAATAAGGTACTGAAGGTTTTCTTGCAATGTACAATTAGGATGTGACTTACCTTTGAAGAGTGAAGATGGAGAAGACCAGAGAAATAAATCAATAAAACATTAAAATCTCTCTAGAAACATATGGGCACTTTTTACCAAGTCTCTGGAGAGTAATGGGCAGGCACAATAAAATTAGTCAAAGTTGGAAGAGGACTTTGGGGTTCCCAGCTGCTCTGTGAAGCGGGCATGGGGTTACTAAAGGTGATGGAGGTTTTAAGGACCAGACTAGGGCAGGGCTGAGGTGCGAGTGAGTTTTGTTTGTTGAAGCCATTGCTTGGGAGCCTCTACCTTGCCAGTGAAGCTCAGCTTACCTGACACAATGATGTAAACACTTTTAATATAAGTCAGAGGGTCAAAAATTATAGAAGCAGACAAAAATTCAAATAAAATAAAACTGGGAAGTGAGGGGAGTGAAAATTTTTTTTTTCATCTCCCATAAAGTTGTTAGTGGATATTGTTTCATTTAAGATTTTGGAAATTAATAAACATATTTTGGAAAGGCGAAATGTGTGTGTTATCAAAATTATGACCTGAAATAAGGTATATAACTATAAATTTACCACAAAGAAGCTGAAAGGTGATATAGACAGCAAAGATCATGTAAAAAGTAAAAGAAAATTCAAGGAAGCACTTAAAAAATAAACACCAGGGGAGATTATTTATACTCTAATGTATTTGTGTTACCATTAGGTGTAAAAGAATAAATCTATCTCTTACAATACAAAGCTCTAAGATGGGTATTTAAAAGACAAAAAATATGTTTTCTGCAAGATAAAAGAATGAATACAAATATATGGTAAATATAAGAGAAAAATCTGTACTGAAGGAATCCAAACGACTAGAAATAAAAGAATGTGGGAAATACATTAAGCAAATGCAAATCGAATGAGGCTTTAATTAGAGATTAAAAAGCGTTAAGTAGGACAAAAAGTGTCACTTTACAGCAATCAAGGGTAAAATCCACAATGAAGGTATAAATGTCAGAGCCATCATAGTCCTGTTGACATAATGTCAAGAAATATGAAAATAAAGTTTCACAAGAAATGGAATAATAGTGATAGCGTAGCATACATCTCTCTGTCTCTGATAGGTCAAGGACATGCAAAGATATTGAGGATATACACAGTTTAGAAACCATCTCTCCTTGGGTATTTTTCCTGTCTTTCTAGCAACAGACCCCTTTATTGTTGGGAGTATCAGTGTGCTCAGACTTTTAAATGAAATGTATATGGATCAACAAACTGTGGTATATGTACACCATGGAATACTATGCAGCCATTAAGGAGGATGGAGACTTTACATCCTTCATGTTCACATGGATGGAGCTGGAGAATGTTCTTCTGAGCAAAGTATCAC